AAAAAGTCGCGCCCTCACCGGGGGCCCTTCTAGGATCTATCATTCAGTCTGAGAGCACCTACAAAACTTTGCTTTAGCTGCACACGCCCTAGAGCACAGCTTAGAATGGGGGCTTTCTGTCCACGCAGAGTACCCCAGAATCCCCACGCTCCGCTCTTGCGCCACCTTAGAGGCTCTTGATTAACAGTAACAAAGAACAGGCAGGAGAAAGGAGGAATCGAGTTCTCTGTGGAGCCAGGCCTCGCCCCGTGAGTCTCCCTCCTGGGCGGCCAGGCCACGCTGAGTCTTGGAGGGGCTTCAGGTCCGCTCCCACCACCTCTTACATATTTTAGTTCCCCTCATTTCAAAGAGCATTTCCAGCGCTGAGCTTCCACACCTATCTACTTTGTAACCCACTCCCCAGTTCGCTCCTACCCCAAACTCCTTCCCACCAGGGGGCGTCCCTGGAGTCGGAGAAGATAATAAGGGCTCTAAATATATAGCTTGACACAAGTTGAATCGAGGTTTGAGCTGTGACACAAAACCAGGCAGATCTTCAAGATCACAAGTGTTAACCTCTAGGAGGGCTTGACCCGACAAAAGACCCATCCTCTGCCCCCAGGCCAGAGGCGGCACTCTCCTTTGAGGCTGTCTGGTCTTCATAGGCACCTCCCACTCAAGACAGTAAGGCAAAGGCAGGTGCAAAAGTCCCCTTAGGATGTCCCCGCATCCTCCACACCCCATCTCACCCCAGCCTCCCCAGAGACCACACCTTGAGAAAACCTTCCATAAAAGGAAGATCTCCCTCAAAGGCCCTAGAAGGTCAAGCCAAGGGGAAGAGGAGCAGCAGAGGATCTTTTCTGTGCCCTGCATCTGCCCAAGCAGGCTGGCTACACTTCGGCCTCTCGTACTCCTGCGCAACCTCCCTGCAAAGCAGGCGAGAGACCCTTGGAGACTTTTTAGGGAAGGAAACTAGTAAGGCACCCTTAAAGGCGGTCCTTGGATTCTGGGGTCGGGAAGCAGCGATCCCCAGCGCTGGCTTCGTTTTTGTCTTCCGCCTCCTGGGCGGGGTTGCTTCCTTGGCACCAGTGAGCCCCAGCTCAGCCGAAGAAGGAGGACCAGCGAGAGCGGGTCTGGGATTCACAGTTTCTATAAATTCCAAACACAGAATCAAAAACAAGAACTCATGTTTGCTATGGACTTTAAAGAATTAAAACCTGAGGTGCATGATCTCATCCTGAGTTAGCTGAATCCCTCGCACAACAATCCAGAAAGGTACACACATTAGGTTATGATCTTATTTGCAGCTCAGAAAATAGATGCTAAGACGCTTTGTTTCCTTAATTTAACTTGAGTTAACTGGGGGCTTCGGAAGGGAGCCAGGAAATTACTAGTTTACTCTGCTAAAGTAGTGGTTGCTCCTGTAAGTCCTCTGGGGAGGGTCATATTGCACAGTTGGAAAGTGGTAAATTAAGACTTAAATTCTACCCAAGTGGTCATCTCACTACCTGGGACTGGAAGACAGGTGCAGAAACCCACTCACCGAACTTCATTCCAACCCTCTCTCTCGCCGTTGGGTATTGCAGCAGTAAGTGACTTCCTATTAATAATGTAGAGTCTGTCGGGGGGAGATGCATCTTCATTGTTAAAAGTTGACTTTTCAGACCAAGCACTGTGCGTGGTCTAGCAGTCCAGAAATAAGTATTTATTGGCTGAATCATGAATTTCGATAAAGCTTAAAGAAAAATAACACTGCCAGGAAACACACTTAGTGCCGTAGGGTACTGTGAAGGACCAGCAAAGGCCAGGAGTTGTAGGGGGGCGGCGAGAAAACGTCCCTTCCTCTGCATACTACCCGTGTTTTGTTCCTGTCCTTCCAAACCACACTGGAAGTGGGGGCGGGGAGGACGTTTCCCATCGGACACAAAGTGTGAGCAAGGGCTGGTGGCATTTCCTCTTCTGTGGGGCTGGACTTGAACCTGCCCCTCGGAAGATCGTTGATTCTGGGCCTAATGGCAGCCAGCCTAGAAAAATGTGCTTGAGATCGAGGCAGGCGGTCCTGGAAAGCTCCAGGAGGGGGCCGCGCTGTGCCGACTTCCAGCTGCGCTCACTCCACCGGGAACCTGTTAGTTCCGGGTTCAAGGAAGATGACTCAAGGGGTGAGCTAAACTCGGCAGCATAATCGAAACCACGGAAAAGGCACTGATTTGACCCAGGCCTGCCCTGTTCAGGATGAGTTAGGGAGGTTGGTGGATGGAAACGATGCTCTTCGTTGAGAAATAGGTGACGGAGCCAAAGGAGGGACTCCCAGGGCTTTTGCTTGGACAGTCTTAGAGATAAAGATATCAGTCTTTTCCTCACCAGGGAGGAGTCCACAGAGTTCTTCTAGGCGGTGTAGTGTGCCTGGCAAAGAAGACAGAGCGGTGGACGTGTATGAAAGGGCAGAGGTAGGAGAGGCGCCTAGGGCCCGTGCACGGCAAAAGCCCAGCCTAGATCTCAGCTCCAGCAGGCGCTGGTGTGTGCACGCGGGAACTGCACCAGCCATGGAGGAAACACAGTCCTAGTTTCAGAGAGACCGAGAAGCCCACCCTACTCCCCTGATTGTGGGCACTGCTCAGCATCCCCACCCACCACCTGCTGCATGGTTCTCGTTCTTAGTTGTGTTCTTAGTGGCTAAGAAACCAAGGCTAGGGAGCTGCAGAGGTTATGGAGGTAACGTGTGATCCAGATCCTGCCGGAGGCTGGAAAACTGCCGCCAGAGGAAAGTCCAAGCTGCTCGACCCAGGGGTATACTCATTAGAATAACTACAGAAACCTCAAGTTCTGACAATGAACTTTTAAAAATTTAAAAGCTCTGAAAGCACTTTGATGTGTCAGATCTTACTTGAATCTCAAAAACCCTTTTGAAGAATTATCTCCGTTTTTAAATGTTTTTGAGTCTCGTGGTTAGTAGGATGTCCTCCTCCACTTGGGGTCACTTGTAGTGGTTTCTCACACTTAGTGGATAAGAGAGAGAGGGAGAGAGAGAACAAGATCACCTCACCTTCATAAGACACCATGCGGGACGAAGGCCTGTCTGAGCTGTGGCTCCAGACAAGGTCCATATTCTGCTTTGCCCTCTCTTTTCTGTCATTCTCTTGAGCCCAGGGTCGCCTTCCCTCGCTGCTCCCTAGACACCACAGTGACCTAAAGCACAGCTGTTAGGATCCAAATTCTTCCTGAGAGCACCCCCAGAGAAACTCCTGGAAGGGAAGGGCACAAGGCCAGTTTGGTACCTATCTTTAGCAATGTAAGCTGCAGGCTCTCCCCATGAGAAAGAAAAAAATATATAGGGTCATCTTCCCCATGGCTACTGCAGAGACCTGGGAAAACATGGGCCACATAGGAGTTCTGGGGTCTCCTGAGCTTTCTCAAACTCTGGTAAGGAAGATGGCAGGGAGAAAAGTGCATGTGAGTATAAAAGTTAGCTTTGTACTAAGGGAGTACAGCCCACACGTCAAGGAAAGGGTAGAAATCTTAAAAAGCAAATAAGCAAAACAACTTCCTTGCTATAAATTGCTATGAATGAACGAGGAGCCTAGCCTTCTGAGTAGCTCAGAACTGCCTGTTCATTATCAGGAGCCCCCTTACTACAAGGGGAAAAAAAGAAAATGTGAAAACAAAACTCAAATTTGAGAAGCCTTCTTGACCGCCTCCAAAGTGTCTAGGAGGCACCTGCAGGGCAGGACGCACTCCACCTTCCAGCCCCCAGCGCGTTGGGAAAGCTCAAAGAGAAAGGAACACAAAAACAAACAAAAACGAAAATGTTTAAAATCCAAGGGGGAAAGACGGAATTAGTCTCAAAAATCCAGGCCAGGCAGGGCTCCACTGTGTAGCCCACTGGGCTGCAGATCCTAGCCTGGCCCAAGCAACGCGACTGGCACCCCCGGCCCCGCTGGGGAGCGCAGCCCACCGCTCCCCCTCGCCAGGCGTCCGAGGACCCTCAAGGCGCGGGGCTCACACTTGAAGCCTGGGAACGCACAGACAGGAAACCCACTTCCTCCTAAACAGTTTCTTGCTTGCCGGATGAGAGGCGCCCAATTGAAGCAGAATGATCCTCATCTACTAATATCCAGCGTGGCCACAAAGCGACTGGCCATTTACGCCGCCACTTTAAACAAAGATATTTGGTTATTCCCGGGAAGCAAGTGCACTTTTGCATGGCTGAGCTCCGGGCAGAGGCAAGCCAAGCCGCAGCTCATCCTCCCGCCACTCTGTACTGCCAGCGCCAGGGTACTCGCCCCCTCCAGGCCAGCTTGTCCTCCAGGGTTGGGGCTCAGGCGCCCAGGACCACAGACCCGCCGGCACTCCCACCGCTCTCGGCCGGCGTCCTCCCTGAAGGGGAGAAGAGCAGGGTCTGGGCCGGGGCCTGGGACTAGCATATCCCCATAAAGTCAGCTTCAACCCCAGAATCCCGCGAGTTCAGGCAATGGGCGAGGATCAGGGACACCAGGTTTGTTCCTGATGGGACAACTTCAGTGTTGGATCCTCACGTTAGCTCCCCCATCCTCGCAGCCCAGGAGGCCACTGCTGCACGCCTCGGCGGTGGGAGGGGGTGGGGAGGCGAGCGTGGGGTGTGGGGGTGTGGTGCGGGGGGCCTGGCCCGCTGAGAAGCTTGAGCTGGGGGGTGGGGTGGGCGGGTGGTGCGGGGATCCGCGACAACCTCCCGCCGGCGGCAGTCGTTCCCTTACTCAGCTCCCCCTCCGCCCGCCGGGAATCTCTCCGGTAAGGGGAAAGGGGGTGGGGAGCAGCGGTGTCCCTCGGACGGCGGCAGAAGAGGCAGACAGACTGACAGACACGTAGACCAACAGTGCGGCCCCAGGGTTCGTCCCCAGACTCTCTCTGGCTCCTTTGGTGGCGACTGGGGCTCGGCGCAGCGAAGCCCGATGTGGTGCGGAGGCAGTGGGAAGGCGCGGGGCTGGGAGGCCGCGGCGGGAGGGAGGAGCAGCCCCGGCAGGCTCAGGTGAACCCCCAACCCCGTCCCTCGGCCCCCTCTCCCCAAAGACCTGTCCGTGCCCGGGGAACCCCGACCACTTCGGAGAGTGGTTCCACTTTGTAACTCCTCAAGTTGGTTGCAAAGCAGCATTCACCTTCCTTCCTCCCCACCGTCCCTCCTCCCGGGCTACTCTCCACCCCACCTCCTGCCCTCCCCGCTCCCGGTTCCCTCCTCCTTCCCCTCCCTGCCTCCTCCCCGCGCGCCGCCCGCACCCCACAAAAAATGGGGATGGGGTGTACAGGGGAGGGGGAAGAAATGCTTTGGCGCTCTCTGTCGCTCTCTCTCTCCCTCTCTTCTTCTCTCTCTCTCTCTCTCTCTCTCTCTCTTCCTCTCTCTGATCTAAAAATCCTGACAAGTGAAACTTAAAGGTGTTTACCTTGTCATCAGCATGTAAGCTAATTATCTCGGGCAAGATGTAGGCTTCTATTGTCTTGTTGCTTTAGCGCTTATGCCCCGCCTCTGGTGGCTGCCTAAAACCTGGCGCCGGGCTAAAACAAACGCGAGGCAGCCCCCGAGCCTCCACTCCAGCCAATTAAGGCGGACTCGGTCCACTCCGTTACGTGTACATCCAACAAGATCGGCGTTAAGGTAACACCAGAATATTTGGCAAAGGGAGAAAAAAAAAAAAAGTAGCGAGGCTTCGCCTTCCCCCTCTCCCTTTTTTTTCCTCCTCTTCCTTCCTCCTCCAGCCGCCGCCGAATCATGTCGATGAGTCCAAAGCACACGACTCCGTTCTCAGTGTCTGACATCTTGAGTCCCCTGGAGGAAAGCTACAAGAAAGTGGGCATGGAGGGCGGCGGCCTCGGGGCTCCGCTGGCGGCGTACAGGCAGGGCCAGGCGGCACCGCCGGCCGCGGCCATGCAGCAGCACGCCGTGGGGCACCACGGCGCCGTCACCGCCGCCTACCACATGACGGCGGCGGGGGTGCCCCAGCTCTCGCACTCCGCCGTGGGGGGCTACTGCAACGGCAACCTGGGCAACATGAGCGAGCTGCCGCCCTACCAGGACACCATGCGGAACAGCGCTTCGGGCCCGGGATGGTACGGCGCCAACCCAGACCCGCGCTTCCCGGCCAGTAAGTGAGGCCGCCCCGCCCCGGGGCCGCGGGCTGAGCACGGGAGGGCGCGGCGCCGGCGGGCTGTGCGCTGGGCACCAGGGCGGGCAGCGGGCAACTGTGCCAGGGAGTTAGTTGGGTGTGGGAGCTGGAGTCTTCCTCTTGCTGGGCTGGTGTGTAGGGGGCTGTCCAAAAAGAGACACTTGGTAGCTCTGGGGTCCTGCGGACAGGTGCTGGTGCTCAGTACCTCCAGGAACTGCCAAGTGGGAGCCTTGCTCCGCAGGAAGACCTCCGAGGGCCGAGGGAGGCACCCACGAGCTGAGCTGAGGGACCGAGAGCGCGCAGAGCTTGTCGAGGCAGGGCCTGGCGGGGAGGGAGGCCGCCCGGCGGGATGCGTTGGAGCGCCCGGCCGGGCGCGCGCTCTCCGGCGAAGTCTGGACAGGTGGGAGGGCGCGCGGACCCGGAGGGGGCTGTAAATGGGCCAAGCAGGTGCCTTCACTGGGGCCTACGGCAGAGAAGCAAAGAGGCAAAGCGCCTGAGGGTTTGAGCCTCCAGAAGAGAGCACCCTCCTCTCCTAACCTTCCAAAGTTGGAGGTTTACCGTCGGATCCCAAGTCCCTGCCAGAGCTCAGCTCGCCGCCTGGGGCCAACTGACCCCAACAGGGCTAGAGCAAGAAAGAGCAGGAGCAGCCTGTCGACCCCCACTTCTCTGCGCTTTGGGGTCGCAAGAGGGTGCTGAGATGGGAGGGGTACCCAGGGTTGATCCCGATGCGCTCCGGCACCCTCTCCCACTGCACCACCCGGGGCAGCGCTAGCGATCTCCAGCGGAGGCGCCTCACCCGCCAGCACCAGGAGGCCTAGGTGCAGAGGGCGCCGTCGGGGCGGGCCGGGCGGGCCACGGGCACGGAAGGCAGGGTTGGCCTGGCCCGGCCGGCCCCGGCCGACGCTATGCGTTTGTCGCTTACAGTCTCCCGCTTCATGGGCCCAGCGAGCGGCATGAATATGAGCGGCATGGGCGGCCTGGGCTCGCTGGGGGACGTGAGCAAGAACATGGCCCCACTGCCAAGCGCGCCGCGCAGGAAGCGCCGGGTGCTGTTCTCCCAGGCGCAGGTGTACGAGCTGGAGCGACGCTTCAAGCAGCAGAAGTACCTGTCGGCGCCGGAGCGGGAGCACCTGGCCAGCATGATCCACCTGACGCCCACGCAGGTCAAAATCTGGTTCCAGAACCACCGCTACAAAATGAAGCGCCAGGCCAAGGACAAGGCGGCTCAGCAACAACTGCAGCAGGACAGCGGCGGCGGCGGCGGCGGCGGCGGCGGGGGCAGCGGATGCCCCCAACAGCAGCAGGCTCAGCAGCAGTCGCCGCGCCGAGTGGCTGTGCCGGTCCTGGTGAAAGACGGCAAACCGTGCCAGGCGGGCGCCCCCGCGCCGGGCTCCGCCAGCCTACAAGGCCACGCACAGCAACAAGCGCAACAGCAGGCGCAGGCTGCCCAGGCGGCAGCGGCGGCTATCTCGGTGGGCAGCGGTGGCGCCGGCCTGGGCGCACACCCGGGCCACCAGCCCGGCAGCGCTGGCCAGTCCCCGGACCTGGCGCACCACGCCGCCAGTCCCGCAGCTCTGCAGGGCCAGGTCTCCAGCTTGTCCCACCTGAACTCCTCGGGCTCGGACTATGGCACCATGTCCTGCTCCACCTTGCTATATGGTCGGACCTGGTGAGAGGACTGGAGGCCGGCCGGAAAACAGCGCGCTGCCTCACCGCTTCTCGTCTGCCCGCCACACAGACCACCGTTCACTTGCTGCTCCACACGCTCTTACTTTTCTTAAGAACCTGTCTGAGTTTAGACCAAGGAAAACTACACAGAGGCCAAACTGCTGGACGTCTTTCTTTTGTTTTTTCCTTTCTAAAATCTGTGGATTTTTTTTTAAAAAAAGAAAAAGAAAATAAAACCAGCCAAGCAAATTGAATTCTTTACGGAGTCTTTAAACATAGAAAGACATAGAAACAACAGCTTTGGGGGTGTCTTTTCGGTGATTCTAAGGGGTTTCTCACGCTGGGGCAGAGCACAATTTGGAGAGGGCTCTACACTGTTGTGGATCCGGACTCCAAAAACCTCAAACTTCACTCTCGGTACACTTTTTCAGCAAAGTGGACTCGCTTGTAAATACCAGGATTTTTTTCTTTTTTTATTTTCCTTTCTTTTTTTCTTTCTTTTTTTTTTTTTTTTTTAAGAAGGGAGGACGGGAGCTGGGGTGAGGGAAGACTCTTTGACATTATCCACTTGTCAGTGACACAAAGGAAGTGTCCCTTCCCAGGTGCCCTCTGGCCGTTTAGGTTCAGCCCAGCCATCTCCCACCTAGAAAATTGTTTTATGTTTGATGTGAATTTGTAGCTGTACAATCCTGTCAAAAGTTGGATTAAATGCCTAGTTTTTAGTAATCTGTACATTTGGTTGTAAAAAAAGAAAAACCTTCCTATCCCTAGCCCCTCACATTTTTTAAAATGGGCATTGATAAATCTGTGTATATTATTTGGCAGTTTGGTATTTGCCACGTCAGTCTTTTTCTGTTGTAACTTATGTAGATATTTGGCTTAAATATAGTTCCTAAGAAGCTTCTAATAAATTATACAAATTAAAAAGGTTCTTTTTCTGATTAAAAACATCGTTTTGTTTGATTTTGATTCGGCTTTAAGTGGCTTTTTTGGGGGAACTCATCTTTGGGCTGATGGGATCTCAACTGTTTGGGTTTGAGCTCAAAGGATTCTGAACTGGCTAAGGAGGTCAGGCCCAGAGCTTCTGTCCCACGGGAAGAGGGCATTTTCTGCTTTGGGAGTGAGTGGAACCAAATAGCAAGCAGTCCGGAGACATTAGTGAAGAGCAACGCTAAGCTGCTTCTACCAGGAGGCAGGGGAGGGAGGAAGAAAAAGGGACCACAGGACTTGTTGTTAAAGTCAGGCTTCTGTTTTTAGAAACCCAGAAACTACCTACTATGCTGTTATCCAGTTGGGGCAACATGTAAAAACAGTGAGCTAGGACCTCCGTCTGAGGTAATACTGAATGAGTTTCATTTTTAGTAAATGAGTTACTTCAGGAGGCTTGAACATCAGACTGGTTATTTCTAATCTACAAGTAAGCTGCTCCACAGTTAGAATTTGGTAGGTGACTTTTCATCAGATTGAAGTCTTCGTGGGCTTTAGTTCAAAAACAGCAAACCATGCTCAGGGAGCTGACCCCCCACCACCACCTCCACCATTTCAGCGGCTGTGGCATGGGTCTGTGTTGGACTGGGTGGCTGGGCTTCGGATACCTGCCATTGGAATTTTACCTCTTTTCTTATAATTTCTACTTTCCTGGTCTCAGCTCTCAAGATATATGTGTTGGGGGAACCATTAAGGTCGCTGTGAAGGGTGAAGCCTGGTTGTGATAGAAGGAGTGGACAGAAAGGAAAATCAGTCCTTTTGATGGGCTGTTATCCCTTGATAAACCTACAAAGGGCAGGCAGCCTAGTGGGCTGCAGACAGATGCCCCTCCCAGCACTTTCCTTTCGACCTAGAAGGTTTATTTGGGGACTGATTCTTGTTTGGCTTCTCACCTGGACTCAACTTTCGTTTTTCTTTCTTGCCTCCCTTCTGCTTCCTCTTCTGTTTCATTCTGTCCCCAGCCTCTAATCACCACCACCACCAAGGGAAACAGATTGGCCACGTCCTTGGGCAAACTTAACAGTCCTCTTCCCGGACTCTCAGGGGCTCCCTTCCAGTGATAATTTAAGACTGGAGGTGAAGAAGGGCTTTCTTCCCACAGAAACCAAGCCTGGAGACTCCGGTCCAGTTTCCAGTATCCTGAAGCGACCTGGAGATTCCGGAAGGAGGGTTGGTTGGGTCTAGTGAGTGTACTGATTGGGAAATGTACAAAAACCAGGAAAGTTTGAACAGGTGTGTTACAGGAGTGTAGGTGGCCTAGGCACCTAGGTACCCCCGGGGTAGGGGAGGCGGGTACTGCAGCTGTTGTTTGGCTCTAGGGCCCAGATTCTGTGAGGTGGGAGACTAGCTGGAAGCGCCCAGCCCACAGGGCAGCACAAGCCCAGACGCTATGGGGCCAGTGCAGGGCTGCGGCCCAAGGGCTGCCCCTTGCCTTCCGGCATTTACCCCGCCCCCCTAGCCGCTCCAGCATGTCACAATTTCAGTGCCTTCTGTGGTACTCTCGGCCTTATCACCCTTGTGCTGGGTGGACTTTCTATCAGACACATTCTTCCCGCCTGCGGCTTAGTTTGAAGTCTGTTTACTTGTCCCGGGAAAAGGTGAATTCCCTGGGTCTGCGGATGGGATCGAGATAAACAGGGCCTGGGGCCTCTTCTCCTATTAATCACTTGGAGTCCACCCATTCCTGCTCCTGGCTAGGGGACTTGTCGCAGCTGTGGGGAGCAGCCGTGAAAAGCGGTCTGAAGCGTCTCTTTACAGAAATACGCGCGTGCTCATCTCGGCGGCGCAAGAGGGTTCTCGGCTCGGTGACACCCTCTGTCCACACAGCCCTACCCCCCAGCCCCTGAGAAACCGATGCTCGTCCTTTCCTGGAGTCCCCTATCTTAGATCTCCAGGGCCCAGGTCGATTCTGGCTTCCCTGGAGGAGAAATCAGCATTGTGGACGTGCCTGGCGCTGAGGTGCTGAAAGGGCAGAAAACTTCCCCACGTTAGGGTACCGAACAGACTGTCCTGAGATCACTGAAAAACTTTGCCCCCTCCAAAGTACCTCTCAACACCCCCACTCCCGGAGTAAGGGAGATTTTGCAGACAGCATCCCACCCCCTCTTTCTTCCTCTCCCCACCCCACCCCCACACTGCGATGTAAACACGAGGACTTTCTCGAGAGCCCTGGAGAGCCGCTCTAGTGGCTCCAGGGCCTGAAACCCCAGGCTTGGCTTGTTTGATGTTTAGCATCCCAAAGCGGCTCCCCACCCCCGCCCCAGCCTGGGAACCCCGCGCTGTGGGCCGGGAAGGGAGGAAAGCAGCCCTCTCAGCTGGCGGGCCGCAGCGTGGACTGGGCTGGGCTCAGGGAAGGCGAGAAGAGCCGGACTGAGATGCTCTCCGCAAGGGAGGGAGGGATCCTGGGTTGCTGCCGCCAGGGACCCAATCTGGGATCCTCAAGGCTGGGAGGCTGGTGAGAGCCCAGAGGGAATACCTTGGTAGCCTGGGCAGTGGCTCGGGACAGGGGCAGTAACCTGGGGCGTGGGAGTGAAATCCAAGCCATGCCGGGCCCACTCTTCGAGAAGCTCTTGGGCACCTAGTACTGGGGACCGGCCAGGCAGATTTCCCTACTTCTTAGGGCTTGGCCCTTCATAAGGAAAGACTTGATGGGAGTCTTCCGAGGCACTTTAGATTCTCCTGGGCCGAGGCTAGAGGTCTCCTTGGCAATGCTGGGATCTGGCGTCCTAGTCTCTCTCGGAAGAACCCTCAGACTTTAGAGGCAGCAAGCTCCGAGGGCGCGCTCCGCCGCGTCCGGGCAGCGGTGCGGGGCTCTCTCCAGGCACAAGTGCACGGAAGGTAGCTCGAGTCTCTCAGGCTCAGGCGATCCGAGATGAGAGGGATGAGAGCGAGGTTTTCTGACTTCCACCTCATTAGGGACCAGGTAAGGTCGATGCTTTTTCTATTATGTCTTTATTTTAAAAGTGGGTCAATTTAAGATAAGGGAAAAAAATCCAGAATCTGTGTGAACTGTGCTGATAAAGACCGACCCCCCCCTTACCGAACTAGAGCAAGCCAGGCAGACATTCATTTTCTATAAACAAGAAGAGTTGTGAGAAGCTGCCTTGAATTCTGATCGGATGTCTACGGTCCCTCTAGACATACTCCCCCTCCCAACCCCCCACCCTCCAATTATTAGAGTGAGGAAGCGGAGTGAGCAGGCGATTTTATTTGTGAAGAACTAGGAAGCCCATTGGGAAATGTGAATCTGAGATGATACCATTTGTAGAGGGTTTTGCTGGCTTGTTTGTTTCAAACACAGTTTTCTTTATAAATACAAAGAAGTGACACATGGGTATTGGGATGGATGAGGCTTGAAGTTTTCCTGCTGGCCAGATCCCAGTTAGGAGATGTGAAACTGCCTCGGCTTCCTGGCTGGCTGATGCATTTCCTTGCGCAGCGTTGTGCTCCGAGGCTTCAGGTCACCCTCTGTGAGTCCCAGTCTGACAGCCTGCCGCAACTCGGAGCACAGAAAGTTTTCTGGTGTCTCCTCACTGAGTGGCACTGGAAGGAGTGACCTATCTCCACTCACCTTTTTCTGCAAGCTTGTCCACCCAAGTGGATGGAGAATTGGTACAAATGGGAGTAAAGTGCATGTGTTATTGAAGGTGTGGTGTGAGCCTTCACTTAGCCCCTATAGTTGTGTTTGCGAACTTTGTTTGAGGAGACTTTAGGCAGTGGAGGTAGAACAGGCTTAGAAACTTGGCAGCACATCTGAAACCATAGATGAAGTGGCTACATGTCTCTCTGACAGTGACCTAATACCCAGCTTGGAGGGTAACCTGGGCATCTATCCCTTTCCTCCTTTGATACAGTTTCTCATGTCATCTCTGCTTGCTAAACATCTATTACCTTTGTTATGATGGCTTGTGGCAAAGTTTCAGAAAATGTGAGGTTTCAAAATATTTTCTTGTTTTATTCCTTTCATTACTTACAGAACAGTTTAATATATAAATTGATCACTGCATTACTTTGCCTGAATGATAAATAAAACATAAATGTTCTAGTTGCTAGGACTTGGGAAGAGAACTCTTTCCGCTGACATAATATTCACACCTGACTCTGTTCACTCTATGTGTAGGTAGAAATGATTGCATATAGATGTTTGTTAATGTATCTATGTATGCATTTATAGAAGTACATACATATTCGTCTCTATCTTATACACATGTGTATGCATCCTATATATTTTTAAGAAAGTCTATAAAAATCCGTATATAGTTGGATTTTACAGAACCGATTAGATAAAAGAAAGATGAATGCATTTATTACCTCACTTAAGATACAACCTCAAGTTAGTTCCCTTAAAAATCAAATAAACAAATTTTAGTTTTGCCCACTTCAAGTTGGAATATGTACTTATTGTCATGGGAAATTCTGGCAAGCTAATTACGTCTGGGGAAATTAAAATTTGTTCTGAAAGAATTTGAAGTTGGTGTCTAAGACACAGCTGTGGATGAGACTTTCTGAAACAATTTATAATAAAAATTGTTTTTCCTGCTGAACGTACATTATCCACTAATAGACATGTTCATATGCATACTACTGCCCAGCTAACAAAAACTAAACAAACAAAAAAAGAAATGTTTTTCCTCTTCCTTTATAACAAATGTCTTCTTTATCTTGGTCTTCACACTGCAGTAGAAATAAGAGGGCAGTTCTGAGTGCTGCCGGACAAGAAAAAAGACACACACACACACACACACACACACACACACACACACACACACACATAGATTTCAAGCACTGGGGGGAATCCTGTCTTTGATTTCTAGATAGCAGTTGTCAATAAGAGCAGGTTATTACCCCATGTGTTAAACATTACAGTTTCGGGGGGTGATAGTTGATAGTTTCATTTCTACAAAACCAGAGATGTCAAACCCTGGAAAGTGTCCTCGGATACCTTTCTCCTGTCACTGTGC